TTTTTTTTTTTTTTTTTTCCTTTACTATGAAGTCTTCCACTGTTACTCGTTTTGTCCACATCTATCGTGTTTTATTCCGTCTCTTTCTCGTCTCAAACATTAATGCAAAACTTTGATCCATACATAGAAAACTTATCTTCTCATTTTATCAAGTTGATACTTGTTGCTATCATGCGAGCGCGTTTTTCGATCATTAAATGAATGCTATTGATTCGCCAACGATTTTTATTATTCGAATCGATTTGAAAAAAATAAGCTTAATTAAATCGACTATTAATGATATCGAAACTGATATTATTAATAGTCGTCTCTGCGCATACATATATTATCTATTTCTCTCAATCGGTCCCTCTACTGTTCCCTGTTTCGTTCCGCGTCGCGAGAAGGGAGGATTAATTACACATCGAATGCGAAATGTCGTTCGATGTGGGAACGAGCACAAGGGACATATTGCATGTCATGGAATCCTATAATGTAACGCGAAGTTAATTACTTATCGAAATATTGTGGTCGAAAACGTCTTACACGATGTACGTATAATATTTTATCGATCTTTAAATATTTTAGATTAAATATTTAGACAAATTTAATTTTTGTTAATCCATTTGTTAACCAAGTTATTTGACGGAACGTTAAAGTCAACGAACGACACGTATCTCTTTTTTTACGAATGCACTTATAATTCAATTGATAGGCTTTCAAAAATTCAGTTGCGTTTGCCCTCGTTTCATTTGTGCCTAAATCAAATTTATTTCAATTGAAATTTTCTATTATTTCGTTTTTTTGATCGTGAAACTAATCTTCGTTAAAAATTCAAAAAATACAGTTTTTCGCTCGCAATAACTTTGATAGGTATTATCGTAAGACCATGATACCGATAACCACGAATACTGTTCGAATATTGGTGGAATCATTTACGAAGTTGGCAACTCGATAAGCTCGGTATCCGTGGCTTTCTTCCGTTTATCACCTTGTTCTCACCTCCCGCGTTTACAAAGTTCCGCTCATCTAACGCGCGGTTCTCACGTTAAAACAGCAAGGAAGGGATAACGGTCGTGGTATGGTCAGACCGACGAAGTAGCTGGATTTGAGCGGGGGTTGGCGTAAGCGGGCGGTAGAGGGAGAGTGGATCGGTGACTAGGAGTTGGAAGGGAGGGAAACCGAGCGGCTTGCTGGTTTCACAGCGCGTGCCGCTTCAGCGCCAGATGGCTTTCAAAGTGCAAGAGAGATAGTAGGATCTTGCTCCGTATACGTGCCCTCTTCTCGCTTATTACCCCCCAAGGTAGCGGGTGTATGGTTACGCAAGCAAGGAAGAAAGGAAACGAAACGTAGCCAACATTTCCAAATAATTTCTTCTGTTTTGCATTTCTTTTATTTCTTCTTTTTCCATTAATTTCTTCGATATTTTATTAAATTCTTTATTCCTATTTAAAAATTTTTCATCTATAGATATCAATTTTATCTAGATCAATTTTTAAATAAACATTTTTATTTATTGTATAAAATATATATGTGACGTATATGTAATAATTGTATTCAATACAAAATATTATTTTCAATTATGATCACAGTTTTAAATTGCGATATTATATTACATATGATGAAACTCATATACGTGAGTGGAACGAAAACAAGGATCGTTCGCAAAAAAAGAGAAAGAAGATTGCCGATTCGTGAAACCATTCGCAAAGATGCGTGTAATAACGTGCGATAGGTTCTATTGGCCGAAAAGCAACCGTACTTCGGATTGTCGCACGTTCGTATCCCACTCTCGCTCGAACAGATCGGACGATCT